TCCGCACGAGGGTGGGAGAGCCTGGAGGAGGAAGGAACCTCTCTGGTGGCAATTTCTCATAAGGGTTTGTCCTGTCAGGGTGTCTGAGCTGCTGCTTCACCCCAACAATTGGCTCCTTCCCCTCCAGAACCCTGCAGAAAGGCAGCAGGGGATCCTTCTCCTCATCGCCTTCCTCGTGGGAGTGGAATAAATGTTTGTGGAATCTCTTCTTCTGGCAGATCCAGCATTGTGGGTGCCCCCACACAGACAGTGAGGCTGGGGGTCCCTGCCCACCCTACCTGCCCACCCTGCTCCCTCTCCCACCCCCTGGAATGCCAAGGGACAAACCCAGGCCAGCTGACAGACAGGGGAGTCAGAGATCCTGCAAGGCAGGAATTGTCTGAGCCAAGGGCAATTTTAAATTCCCAATTTAATCCATTGGGAAAGGTGGGCTCCAGGTGAGAGGGGACCTGTGTGACCCTCCTGGGGGAGCTGGGGCAGTGCTGGGATGATCCCACCATGCTTGAAATGAAGACTTTGTGCAGCCTTTGTGCAGACTTTGTGCAGCCTTTCTCGCCAGGGCTTTGCAAGGGCAGCCCCAGCAGTGATTAGTGAGAGTATTTAATGTTCACCTGGGCAGTGTGAGCTGGGAGGGGATGGATTTGATCTCAGGAGCTGCTTCGCTCCCAGCCTGACAGCGCCATGGGCTCCTGCAGGGACCCATCCACGGAGGCTGTGGGGCCAAGACAAAGGTGGTGCCCACCGTGACAGAGCCATTCCCTCCTAATGTGGGAGAAATGCGTAAAGAAAATGTGACAGGAGAGAAAGAGCCTGGCAGAGAGGGAGCCTGCAGGTAATGAAGTTAATTGGATATGCTGATTGGAATGGAATGTGCATGCAAGGTTTGTCATTAGCTTTCTCAGGGACACATCTGTGATTTAAAGGAAAGGCACCCAATGGGGTTCCTGTTGCACTTGAATTCTGAGGGGAGAATTCCCACGTGGAGCCCAGTCCCATCCTGCTGCTCCTGCCTGCAGGGAAGGCTGGATGGGGACCTGGGGAGGGATCCTGCAGGGGCCTGGAAACTTTTTGGGTAATAATTTACAGTTCCAGATGTGGATTCTCCCCTCCTGTAGGTTGCTGTGGGGGTCAGAGGATGCAGGACCAGGAGAATCATGCAGGGCCAGATTTCACTCCACTGCCATTCCAAAAATCAGCAAGTTCAGGCAGTGCCTGCTGCTCCTGGACCTGGAATCCTCTCAGGAGCCCCTCCAGTGCCTCCCTGGTGTTTCCACATGGAAACCAGAGTGCTTTGGGACCATGAGGCCCCTGCAGAGGTGTGGAGGAGTCAATGGTGGCCCTGCTGCAGGACCCAGGCTGGGCAATCAGCCCCTCATGCTTGGGCTTATTCAGCTGTTTTCTCTGGCACCAGGAATTCACCCTGAGTCAGCCTGCTGGAAACACCCCTAATGCAAACAGACAGGTAATTTAATCACGGAAAGTTCCTGCAAAGAGATTCGATGTCTCCTAATGGGAGCCTGCTGGGGGGAATGCAGGGCACTGCCTGGGCACAGCACCTGAGGGGAACTTTCCTGCACAAGGTGTGCTGGAGCTTCATGTCAGATTAGATCCGTGAGTGGCTCCTACACGCTGCCACAATGTGGTATTTGGCTAATCTCTGCTGATAAAGCCCAGCTTAGCCTGCAGCTGCATTGTGGGGGTATTAGAGAGCTCAGTGTGAGCTCTGCAGGGCTGCAGCTCCTGCGCCCAGCACAGCCTGCTCCTCCACCGGGCTGCCCTGCGAGCTGGGATGAGTTTGGATTTGCAGATTATGTCAGGAGGCACTTCTCAGCAGAGATCTGTAAACACCCAGCAGGAGGGACGGGCTGGATGTGGCCCGGGCAGCTCCTCGGGTCCCTGTCCGAGTGTGGCAGCCTGTGGTGTGTCCTCCTGGGCTCTGCTGTCCCTCTGATCCCGGGTTCCAGCTCCTGAGGTGCCTCTCCCATCCCTGTGCTCCCCTCTCCCCCAGGGCTGTGCTAGGCGAGCCCTGGATTGGGATGAGCCCTGGATTTGGGATAAACCCTGGATTTGGGATGAGCCCTGGATTTGGGATGAGCCCTGGATTGGGGGTGAGCCCTCAGTTTGGGGAAGAGCCCTGGATTGGATTTGGGGTGAGCCCTGGATTTGGGTGAGCCCCGGATTGGGGAAGAGCCCTGGATTGGATTTGGGGTGAGCCCTGGATTTGGGATGAGCCCGCAGGTGCAGGGCCGGTCCCACCCTGCGCTCCAGGGACAGTTCAGGAGCTGTGGCACGGCACCCACACGTGAGGCAGAGGGATGATTTCCCTCTCCAAACGCCAACAAGAGGCTTCCTGCTGGGTGAGATGATCCCTTTCTTCCTCCCCGGCCGCGGGAATCATCGCTCTCCTCTCTGACATCTTCATTCGTTGCCATGGAAACCGAGCCCTGAGCTGGAGATGCAGTGGAGCATCGCGGTGTCACTGGGTGCCCTCGGCCTGGGCTGTGGCCAGGGGGCTCTGGGGCTCCAACACCCACCCAGGGAGGGGCTCTGCTGTGCCCCCGCCCTGTGCCCTGGGCACAGAATCCCCGAGAGCCCCAGGGCTGCTCCCTGGCCATTGTGGGGGCAGGAGGGCACAGGCAGTGCCAGCACCCCGTGCTGTGCCCCAAAACTCCATCCCAGGCACCAAACCCATCCCAGACTCCCCTTCCAGGCACAGCTCCGAGCCCTCAGCCGGGCTGGAGGGGCACTCAGCGCTGCCTCCAGCCCCGAGCTGCAATTCCCAGTTGGAATTGGTCTGCACCAGCCTTGTCCAGTGGTATCTCTCTTTATTAGCCCCGTCTGACCTCATTACTAGAAAGAAGCTCAATTTAACGAGCTGCTGGTGCCCTGAGGGAACTCTGGAAAACAGTTGTTTTTCACAAAGGCTGCTGATCCTTCATGTCCGGGCTCCCATTCCTGTCTGGCCATTAATCAGCCCTTTGTACGGTGCTGGCTGTGGAGCCCTGGCAGCCCCCCGTTCCTGCTCTTTATTTCTGGGTGATTTCTGTCCCTCTGTCCCCGCTGCAGCGTGGGTGACTCAGGTGGCAGCACCCAGTAAGGCACTGGGCTCATACTGGTGTGGCTCTGCCTCTGATTCCTGGTATTTCACTGGGGCTGTGACAATCCTAATTCTCACAGGTGGAATTAAAGCAGGGTTTGACCTTCTGCCTTTTGGGGGATTTTGTTTTCTCTGACCTTCTGCCTTTTGGGGGATTTTGCATTCTGAAAATTCAGGGCTTTCGAGGCAGGCTTGGGCTGGCAGCTTAATCCTGCCAGGAGTTCTGTGCCTGGCTGTGGGTGTTCCACAGAGCACTCACATTCCCACCTGATGTTCCTCTATAGCACTGAACGCTCGGGAGGTAAAGGGGAAAGAGAGAAACGCAGGAAATGAATGTGTTTGTGTGTAGCCAACATGTCTGTGCATGGCAGGAGGCACCGGGGCTCCTTCCAAGGGGAGGATTTATTCGGAGAGGGTGCAGGGGAGCAGCTCTGCTCTCCTGGTATTCCCAGCTGGGGTGGCTCATTTCTCAGCTAAATCAAAGATTTTTAACAACCTGCTGTCTTAGCTCCCAGGAACAGAAAACAGAGCCAGCCCTTTCTGTGCCAGTCCTGCCTGTTCTGTAGGTTTGGCCTTGGGGTTTTCCTGCCTTTTGCTCCGTTATGCAGGAATACACTCCAAAGCAGGGAATTTCGGGGCGGCAGGTGGCATCTCTGGAATAAGGGGTTTGCCTAGGGCCGTGTTCCCTCTCCTGGAGGGGCAGCAGGGGCATCCTGGAAATTCCCAGCAATTCCCGACAATTCCCCGCAATTCCCGGCTCATTCCTGGCAATTCCCGGCAATTCTCGACACATCCTTGGCGCGTCCCCGCACATTTCCAGCACATTCCCGGCACATCCCAGCAATTCCCGGCTCATTTCTGGGACAATCCCGGCAATTCCCAGCGCATTCCGGTTAATTCCCGACACATTCCCGACACATCCCGGCTCATCCCCGGCAATTCCCGACACATTCCCGGGATATCCCGGCAATTCCCGGTACATTCTTGGAACATCCCCGGCTCATTCCCGGCAATTCCCGGCTCATCCCCGGCCCATCCCCGCTGTCGCTGCCCGCCCATGGCTCCCCCAGCCCCGTTCCCATCCCGCGGCTCCCCAAACGCGCAGATCCTGGTGGGAAAGGCAATGCCAGGAGTTTGTTTCTCCCGCTGCCCTCCCCGCGCACAGCCCCCGAGGCCATCAATTATTAACTCGGGCAAGAGAAGGCGGCGTTTCCTCCGCAGCAGCGGCTGCTGGCAGGGATGGGGCTTGTCACAGCCCGGGCAGGTTTTCCTGCGGGAGCAGGGCGGTGTTTGGGAGGGATGGAGGGATGCTTGGAGCGTGTGGTGCTGTGCCAGAGCTCTGCTCGCTCAGCACGACCGGCTGGGCTGGCCTTGCCTCGCTGAACCCTCCAGGCAGGAAAGTGACAGCAGCATCTCCGGGTTTTAAGCAGGGATGATGCTCCAGGAGGATTCCGTGGCAGGAGGAGGTGGTGGAGATTATCCAAGTGTCATTCTATAGGTGTCTGGAGAATTAAAATATACCTCTGCAGTAGCTTGGCTTTGCTGTTGGCTGTAGAGTTTTGTGGTCTCCTTTCAGGTTTATTTTAGAGAGAATCTTAAAAGTTTACAGTTTTCCTTCCCCCTGGATGGTCAATCATGGCTCGCTGGAGGTCTCTGTGCTCGCCTTGCAACCACAAAACTCTCTCATTATTTCTCCTGGAGTGGAGAAATCACACTGGCTGCAGTGGAGACAGAACCTTCACTCCAGCTCCTGCTCCCACCCTGCTCTGTCTGCAGTTCGGAGCTGAGATTTTTGGATTCATTCCTTTCCCTACCTTGCCCCCCTCCTCCCCTCATCCCAAAACAAGGGCAGGATTTGTCAGCTGCGAGTGCCCCTGACCTGTGCGTGTGTTTCGCCCTGCAGATCCGGGCGGACGGGCCGCCCCAGGGCGGGATCCAGTACGAGGTGGTGCCGGTGTTCAAGGACGGCAGCCCGGTGCTGCGGGACATGGCCTTCTCCACGGACCACAAGTACCTGTACGTCATGTCAGAGCGCCAGGTGAGTGCCTGCTGCCCTGCCCAGGGCATCCCTGCTCCCTCCCCTCGGCACTGCGCTCTGGAGATCAGCCCCGAGGGGCTGCATGGGGACACGGGCTTGGAGCGCCGGGAGCAGCTCGGGGTTTTGTGCCCCTGAGCAGAGATTGGCATCAATGGGGGAGAGCTGAACCTGCTTGTTCCTGGCTGGAAGTGATGGGAACTGGGCTGGTGTGGGGCTCTGAGCTGCTCCTGCCTCGGTCATGAACCACAGGGGTTCCTTGGTTATAAAGTTATTTGGAAACAGGGCAGAAATCTTTGAGAAGAGGGCAAAGTCTTCTCCCCACTGAAAGCCTCGAGTGAGTGAACCCCTGAGGCTGAGGAAGGCATTTTTTGCTTGTTGGAAACACTCAGGGACAGGCACTTGCATGAGCAGCCACAAATTTCAGATCCCATCCAGCTCAGGCTGGATAATGAGATCTGTGCAAACTTTGCAATTGAATTATTTTATTCAAATGTTAGTGTTTGGTCACTGTGCCGGAGCCACGTGCTGCCCGTGCTCCCAGCAGGGAGGAAAGGACCCAGTGTGGATCTCAAACAGTTGAGGAGGTGTTTTCATTTGGAGCAAAGTCCAGGGGGAATGCCTCTAACTCATCTTTTATGAGGCAAGAGCGTCTTAATATTCATCAAAGCGCTAATTTGCTTAATTGTGAAACAAAAAGATGTGAAGAGAATTAGCAAATAATAGAATATTCCTGGAACATTAATTCCATTTCCAGCCACAGCTCTGCCTTGGGGAGGCTCCAGGAGCTGGGGGCTGCTGCCTCTCATTCCTTGCAGGCTTTGCCACAGGATTTGCCTGTTGCCCTTGCAGCAATGCGTGCCCTGGGTCCCAAAATCCCAACATCCCATGCATATGGATCTGTCAGCTCCTGTGGTGACCCCAGTGCCCCCATCCTGCAGTGCGATAGGTCAGCAAAGCGCAGCCAAGGAGATATTGTTCCCTGGTCCTCTATAAAGGAGGCTGATGATTGAAAAGGGGAGGAGGGAGGTCCAGCAGCCCCGGAGGGCTGAGGGGCTGTAAATGGTGAGAGGAGCCCTCAGAAGGACTGAGAATACACAGCAAAAAACGGCCTCTGAGGGCTGGAAATGGAGAACAAACCAAGATTTGCCACAGCAGAATGCCACAGAGAGCAGCTGCTCCTGGCAGGGCTGTGCTGCAGTAAACCTGGGGGGAGGATTGCCCAGAGCTGGGGTTTGATATCTGAGACAGAACCAGGCCAGGGCTGTGTCCACACACAGCCCTGGAGAAATGGCTGGGGGTTGTGAATTCACCTGGGGAAGGTGCTGGGGGTTGTGAATTTACCTGGGGAAGGTGTTGGGGTTTTGTGAATTCACCTGAGGAAGGTGCTGGGGGTTGTGGAATTTACATGGGGAAGGTGCTGAGGTTTGTACAATTAACCTGGGGAAGGTGCTGAGGGTTGTGAATTCATCTGGTTTGTGCAATCACCTGCAGAAGGTGTTGGGGTTTGTGAATTCACCTGGGGAAGGTGTTGAGGGTTTGTGGAATTTACCTGGGAAAGGCGCTCCCCAACAGCTCCTGGCACCTCCTGAGCCGCTCTGGACATGGGGACAGCCCTGGGATGGGCTCTGAGGGCAGCTCCAGGCCTGGAGCTGTGGGGATGGGGCTGTGGGGATGGGGTTGTAGGGTTGGAGCTGTGGGGCTGGGGTTGTAGGGATGGAGCTGTGGAGATGCTTCCCACAAAGGATGGAGGGAGCTCCTGGGCACGGAGCCCAGCTCCCTTCTGTGCCGGCAGCAGGCAGGACCAGCTCAGTGCAGAACTGCAGGGAAAAGAGCCTCTCCCTGCTCAGCTCTGGAGCTGTGGCTGCAGGCACAGCCCTTCCCCATCCCCTGGCTCCTGTCCCAGCCCTGTCTGTGCTTTGCTCCAGTTTTTTCCTCCCTCTTTTTTCGAGCTCTCCCTGAGCCTTTCATGTCTCGCTGCCAACTCCTTCCAAAGCAGAATATTTGACATTTGATTTCACTCCCACAAAGCACAGAAGCAACAGTTGCACAGCCCGATCCGGGGGAGAGAGGAATAAAGAAACTTTGCTTCCAGGCACTCGGGGCTCTTGAACCACTCGGTTTAAGGGTGGTTATTAGGAGCTCTTTCAGGTTCCCTTCTCACAGCACCTGCTTTCAAACGCTCACAGGGGAAAGGAGAAGTGGCTCTGGCACTATTTAAAGCAGGAATTCATTGCTCAGCGTTGGTGGAGCAAACAAAGCCCATTTCTGCACACAGGCTGGGCAAGGCTGGGGAGAGCTGGATGAGGATGGAGATGGAGATGATGGAGATGATGGGGATGGAGATGGGGATGATGGAGATGATGGAGATGGGGATGATGGGGATGATGGAGATGATGGAGATGATGGGGATGGGTGGCATTGCAGGAGCTCTGTGGGGTCCCAGGGTGGGAATAGCACTGGGTCTGGCACGTGCTGGCAGAGTTAATCTCCCCAAAATCCCAATTTTTGGGTCCTGTCCCCAAATTCACCATGGGTTCTGTGGTGAGGGGACCAGCATGGTCACAGTGAGGGGACCATGGATCTTCTCAGCCGCTGCCCAGCGTGAACTGCTTTATTTTTAATAGAAAAATTCAATGAACAGTTTCTATCAGGAAAAAAAAAAACCACACAAAAAACCCACCAAAACTAAAATATTGAAGTGAAATTGGTCACGTTGCTGCTTCACTGGTGAGACGTGGGGTGCACCCAGGGCTGATCAAACAGCAGGTGAGGGGTTAATGGCAATTTTTCACAAATGTGGGGGCCACCAATGCCTCCTAATTTAAAAATCCCCATTTTGCCACAGAGTCTGTCACAGAGCCCTCACCAACAACCCCTGCACGTGCAGAAAATCTCTTCCACAGGGAAGGGCTGAGGCTCCCACAAGTGCTGCTGGCGCTGAGCAGGAGTGGCTCTGTACTTCAGCCCAGCAGCATCCATTGTCTGGCTGTCAGTTGGGTTTCCTCAGTGTGTGCAAGCTCCAGCCCCATCAATCCTGTGGGATGAGGGTGCTCTGGTGTCCCCAGGACTGCAGGAGCCCCCTCTGCTCCCCCAGGCAGGGCTGTGGGCATTGTGTAAGCATCAGCAAAACCGGGGCCAAAGATTTTCACAGCTCTGACAGAAGGAGGGATTTGGTTATTTTTAAGGCAGGAGTGAGAGGAGCTCAATCAAACCCAGGGCAGGGATTGCTGGCTCCAAAAGGTTTCAGCACCTAATCAAGGGCTGCAGACGTGGAATTTAAATCAGCAGGATGGAAATGGTGGCTGGGAGGAAGTTCCTGTGTTAGGGGTGAGGAAAACATCCCAGAGGGCCCTTTCCCCCCCAGCCTGGGCATCAGGGGCTCCTGGCAGGTGGGAGCTGCAGGGGCAGAGGAGTTGGTGCTGAGCAGGCTCTCCCTCTGCCCTCACTGCCTCCTCCCTGCCCAAAAACAACTGTGAATTTTCCATTCCTTATTTCCCAGCTCATGATGCCTCAGTTCTGGTGCTCCTCAGGTGAACCCCCAGGTGAGGTGAGGTGCTGGGGGAACAGCAGCACCTTCCTCAGCAGGCAGTGCCCAGGGTGCTGTAGGTGCAGAATTCACCTTGCAGAGCCGTCCTCCACCGTCCCTGCTGCCTCCATGCGCTCAGGAGCTGCTCCCAGCCCAGCCATGGTGAATTCAGGCACAGGGGAGGATTTCCCTGCTCTGAGGGGTGGAACAGAGCAGACTCCTGCTCTGGGAGCCTCAGCACTCCCCAGGCAGAGATGAGGGCCCAGAACCACCCCGTGAACACCAACAAACACAGCAGAGCCCCGAGGGAGCCCCTGCTGCTCCAGGCAGAGCTGGATGCGCCCTCTGCGGCTTTGGAGGGCACAGGTTTGTGTTCTTTGATGGAATCACAGAACCACAGACTGGTTTGGGTTGGGAGGGTTCAGATCTCATCTCATCCCGCCCCAGGTTGCTCCCAGCCCTGTCCAAACTGGCTTTGAACTCTGCAGGGATGGGGCAGCCCCAGCTCCTCCTCCTTTATTCCCAACCTGTTGCTTTTCCACCGGCTGAACTCCCCCTCCCTCTCCACATCCATCACTGAGGCTTTAGGTAAAGAAATTGTCCTTTAGCCTGCTCTGGGAGCAGTGAAATATTTGCTTTGCAAGTGCCCCTGTGCCAGGAGCTGCAGCTCTCCAGGGATAATTTGTTGTGCATTCCTCTGCCCTGTAACCCCCAGAGGCTTCAGTCCTGTGCGAACTGCTTTGCTTTGCTTTGGGATGAATTTTCTGGATGCTGAGGGAGGGGGAGGCAGACAGGAGCTGCCCAGATGATTTAGGAGAGATTGGATTGGAGTGAGGGCTGAGAAAAACAGGGGAGCCCATCAGTCCTGGAGCCTGAGCAGGGCTGTAAATACCGATGGTGTCCTGAGGAGAACTGAGAAAACATGATAAAAAATGCACGAGGCGTGGATAAAAGGGTCTGCAGTCATCAGGAGGGAAAAAAAAAATGAACTGATTAAATTTTTAACTACATTATCTGCTAGTTGAACAGCCAGTTAGCTGGACATAATGTCGGCAAACTTTGAGCGCTGGGAGAAGGGCTCAGCTGGATCCCACCAGAGGTGTCCAAAATCCTTTCTCCCCTGAGAGTCCCTCCACCTGCTCATGGGCTGGGACAGAGAGGAGCTGGATGGGCACAGGAGCCCCTGGAGAGGAAGGGCTGTGTGTGCACAGCTCCTCCTCCACCCTCCCAAAATTCCTGACCTCAATTAGGAATAATTAAGAAATCCCGCTAAAAGCTTGTCTGCTCTCATTAACAATACCTGGCTGCCAGGGAGGATGTGTTAATTACCATGATTGCCCAAAAAGCCGAGCCCGGGCAGGTGGGGCCCTGCTGGGCTCCTGCTGCCAGCACATTTGTCAGCCCTGCTGGGGCTCACCTGTCCCAGAGCTCCCCAGCCCCAGGGATGTCTGTCCAGACCCAAAATAAACGCAGA